GGCGGGTTGTTGATTATTTTGTTTCTTGACGACACTTTTTCTAAAAACGGGTCCATAGACAGAGAAATAGAAATGTGAACTCCAAAAGCCAACGCCGACACCTACCAGCTTACACCCCTTCTATCTCATCCAGACATCTCCATGGACACAAAGAGACAGCTTTTCACTTCAATATTTAGACCAACATTACGCTACCAGTGCCAGACTCGCACAGTAAGTTAAATCACTGAATGCGAGATGAAAAGTCTCCGCAAAACTCACAAGACGAAGCAGTGAGAGAAAGAAAGAGGTAAGAGCAACTATTGGCACTGAGTCCTGCCTGCATTTCAAAGGGAAAAAATGGTCTGGCCACCTGTTACGTATGTCACCTAGCCAGCCAGCCTTGAGAGCCCATAACACCAAACACTGAGGCTATAATAATATAAGGAAGAGGCAGGCCAAACCAAAGGTCCAAATGAAAGAGCTGCGGAGCTGGCTTACCATAGAAAACTGCATCTTCTCTCAACGCTTAACTGCAATAGAGGATGAAAAAGTAAAGTAAAAACAAAAGTATTTTGTTTCCTTGTTGTTATTGTTTCTGTGGTTTCTTTTTACTATTTTTTTTGGTTGCTTTTTCGGTGGTTTAATCGATTGCTGTTTATATTCGTTAAAAAATGGGTGGTTATATTTTTTATTCATTTTTTAAAATTCTTTGTTCAGGGATGATGTTGTGGTAAGATGGGGATGGAAGACGGTGGAGGAGGGGGGGGGTGCGATCTGTTGTTTGTTTGTCTTTTGTTGTTTTGTTGCTTTTTTTTGGGGGGGGGAGTACTTATCGTCTATTTTAAGGATTTGTTTGTTCCTTTCGAGGAAAAATGTACTTGCCTTGTCTTTCTGCCTGACCAAGGTTATGTAATAAAAAAAATCCTGGTAATGACGACAGCTATTCAGCCAAGATAGTGTTTTAGTTTTTTCCACGGTGTTGAAAATATCCAGTCAAACATTAGAAAAACCAATTAGTGTCTGTGTGTTCGTTTCGGTTTTTTAAATTTGCTTTTTTTATATCGTTGGTTTCTTTGTGTGAGTGTTTGTGTGTGTGTGTGTGTGTGTGTGTGTGTGTGTGTGTGTGTGTGTGTGTGTGTGTGTGTGTGTGTGTGTGTGTAAATCGCAGTCGGCTTTTATCACTGCCTATGACATCAACGAGAAACTGAAGGATAACTCAACATTTGATGGGAGAGAGTCACAGTTGCCGACAGGTTGTCTTCCATGTATATTGTCTGTAATACCCTGTGCACACCACAGAAAGTTTCATCAAATCATCAAGTTTCCTTTGAATATGTAGTTTGTTGGGGTTTGTTTGTTTTTTTTTTGTTGATTTTTTTATTTTTTTTGTTTGTTGTTTTTTTTTTTTGGGGGGGAGGGGGTTGTAAGTGTTTTACGGCGCTCGCAATTGCACAAGGCCATGTGAGCGCATGGGGCACATTAAAGTTTTTCAATTGGAAGGAAATTTTTGAATTTTGCCCGGGTGGCGTCCGAAGCCTACTCTTATCAATTTTAGACCACCAAGGGATCTTTAATGTTAGCAACTTGCACGCGGGCCCTCCGAGATTTTTCGCCCTTTTCCGAGAAGGCAAGATGTAGATCTTTCCTACCAGAAGATCAGGGGTGTGGCTGAAAGACAGCGGTAAAAAGGAGCCAAGGAGTAGCAGTAGACAGGCTGCAGAAAAAGTCAGGAGCCCACAGGAGGGGGCAAAGAAGGTGAGGGGGTGGGGGCAGAAAGAGGAGACGAAAGCATACGACAGAACATTGCTATAGAGCAGGAAAGGGAGCGAAAGGATACGATTTTAGAGAACAAAATGTTTCGGTCGCTACCCGGATTCAAACCCGGATGAATGAGAGGGCAACACCTTAACCTCTAGGCCACGAGAGCCCCCCTGATATGGTTTGATACCTTGGAGCGTGGCCCGATGATTCTTGTTTCTTTAGGGTGTCTGTGTGTGGGGGGGGGGGGGGCACCATTTTGACACAATCCTATCTAACCTTCCATAATCAAACATATTTGGCTTTTTAAGTCACGATCGGATGCATGGGGACTCTTGTAGTCAAGAGCTTACGGTGTTTGCTCTCTTTCAATAGGTCCCGGATTCGAAACCTGACAACTACGGAAAAGTTTCTTCTCGAAAAGTGTCTCCTTTCACCTCCTTTCTTGTTCTCTAATCTAATCATGTTATGTAATCTGCTTTTGTCCCCATTTTTTGCCTCCTCCCCCATCCCCTTTGCCCCCTCTTCTGGGCTCCCGACTCTATCTGCAACCTTTCTACTGCTATTCCTTGTCGCCTTCTTACGCTGTCTTTAAGCCGTACCCCTAATCTTATCATAGGTAAGATCTAACGCCTATAGCCTTCTCGGGTGAGGACTAAAAATCTCAGATGTCCCGTGTGCAAGTTGCGCACGTTAAAGATCCCTTGGTGGTCCTAAAATCGATAAGAGTGAGTTTCGGCCGCCATCCGTGCAAAATTCAAAATTCATATCAAACTGAAAATGTTTAATGTGTCCCGCGCGCTCGCACGACCTTCTGCAGTTGCGAGGGCCGTTAAACACTTACCATAACAAAAACAACCATCGGATGCATGACCTGAAGAAAATGATGGGGGCCAGATCTTTCTAGAGAATGCGGAATGCAATCGGTCCTAATGGATTCAAGATCAAATATAATATGAAGCAAAGCAGGGGTCTATTTAATACAGCCATTTCCCAACCTGGCCCAATCCGATCCAATCTCATCTAATCTAATCTGATCTGATCATTCTGACTGGAGCCATTTGACAAATGGGAATCCCTTCTAACCTTCTAATGGTCATTTTATTCTGTATGGTTCTAGTCCTGAACGACTAATACGGTCACTTAATTAAACATAATGTATTATGTATGTATGTGTATGTGTGTGTGGTGCGTGTGAGTGTGCATGTATGTGTGTGTGTGTGTGTGTGTGTGTGTGTGTGTGTGTGTGTGTGTGTGTGTATCTTAGTGATTGGCTATACTAGGTCCTGAATCAAAATAAACACTGTACAGGTACCTGTAACGACTGCGTTACGCTTTATGTGCCAGTCACTTCGAGGTCCCGTGAACACCACGATTGGGTGGGCCGGGGCTAATATTGGAATATCAACCTCTTCAATCAGATAAACACTATGTTAATTGTCTAATGCAAAGACCCAGATGTAGAAAACTGATGGTGGACGATAGTGACAGTATGCGACAGTGCTGTGTGGTTTTGTGGGAACGAAACGTCATCGACGCCTCGAAGTGTGAAGTCACTGTTAGTGCTGTTCAGTACCGTCTGTTTGTTGTTGTTGTTGTTGTTGTTGATGATGTTGTTGTTGTTGTTGTTGCTGTTGTTGTTGTTGCTGCTGCTGCTGTTGTTGTTTTTTGGAAGGGGTGTTGTTGTTTTGGGGGATGGGGGTTGTCTTTTTTGTTAGTTTGTTTTTTGTGGGGAAGGGGTGGGGCTGTTTTGTTTGTTTGTTTGTTTTGTTTGATTTATTTTACAAGTCCATCAGCAACGTTCGCTATTCAACACTCTCGTTGGTTCTGCTTGTCACTCTATCTCGTAATCACTGAGGACAAAGAACTTCTGTAATTTTACAACAGGTTGAAAAAAATTACGAAAATCGATCATAATTAACATAAAAATTACACCTTATTCGAATTGCTCTGCCACGCTTCAAATAACTGCTAAAAGCGGACAAAATATCACTAATGTTGAACAAGTAGACTTGAATGGGCACAGTTCTAATATAGAGTATTGTTATTGGAACGAGATCAAAGTAGATTTTTTTTCTAAATTTCTAAAACGTGACAATAAATCAGAGTGCAGCAATAAAAATGAATTTTTACATTGATTGAAATCTTGAAAATCTTTCATGACTTTCGGATGGAAGCATTCTTGATATAAAGCCATGTTTATTGATGTATGTATATTTGATCAAACTGATTATATAGATTAGTTTTAAAGAATGAGGGGTTATTGAGTACGCAAAGTGAGAGAGAAAGAAAAGGAGAGGATACAGACAGACAGACAAACAGACAAACAGACAGACAGACAGACAGACAGACAGACAGACAGACAGACAGACAGACAGACAGAGGGGCCATGAAAAGATTGGTCTGCAACAGTTTGAAGGCTTAAAAGTTGTTCTTACAGGTAGCGATTACTTCATAATGCTTTGGGGAAAAACGAAGTCTTGTTTGTCCATCAATTCTCTTTCAAATTTGATTTTTTATATTTTAGTGTTTTATACCTCCATCTGCACTATTTGGATCGATTAGGAGGCGGGCTTCCGACCTCTCCAGTCAGGATCAACTTGGGCTGCGAGAGGTACAACATCCTATTAGAAAGATCGAGATACTCGATAAAAATTCCTCCCCATTTGGGAGCCGAACTCGGGTCTCCTGCATGTGACAGCAAAGTCCCTAACCCTACACCACAGACGCAAATGTCCATCGATTCGATGAATTCAGTTCTCAAGTTTTAAATCCTGTTCTTGTGTGGTGCGGCGAGGTGTCTGTTCGGGCCAATCCCCGATCGGTAGATACGGCGCTACCTCTGTATTATAAAGTTCTATCTGACATTTTTGGCCGTTT